GAAGCTGGAAAGTCGCTTGCGAATTTTCCTCTGTGCAAAAGAATTCAAGGGAAAACGTAGCTCGAGCAGTATATGATCGTTACTGTGTCACATGAACGTAGTAACAACCAAGCCATGCAGGCCACACCACAGGTTCACCCTACTGCCGACACTGCCGAACTGTGCAGACTCAAACACACCTTCTTCGAAGGAGGTAGTATAGGAGGTTTTCCCTGATTAGGAATACGTCGCCAAGATTTCTTGACTGGCCATAGACGCACAACGGCATCTCAGCCGCTAGTATCCCGACCAAATGACGTGTGGCCCAACATCTGCAGTAAACAAGATCTTATCAGAGACTCTTCTCCATTAAAAGTACAGGTACAATGAGATTTAACTTCGTTCACAGCTTTCAGAAAACTTCTCTAGAAAAAGGTTCATCACAACGTAAAATCAACAGCAGCTAGCCTTGCAAGAAAACAACCAAACAGTGAAAACAAGCGCGTCCATGCAACGTAAACAACCGGGGTAAAAGAAATTAACAACGTCTACCATTCCTGTACAGTTTAACAACTTAGGTAACATATATGATTTCTATGAAAGACTGCATCCATGGTAATAGATCAGATATTCTTCAATGGAGTTTGCATACATGGTAATAGATCAGATATTCTTCAATGGAGTTTCATATAATAGCTTTCTCCGTTTAGATTTTGTACAGGCGTTGCATGATGCTCACCATAGATATCCTGAAAGAGCTGGATACACCAGGAAAATTTCAAAATATCAAACATAAAAAGGATAAATTGTCGTGTGTCATCCGGTTTCATGAAGAATAGGAAATATAAGAGCAAGGATTATAAATTCTTTTGTTTACGAGAAAAAATAGTGGTGGAGACTAGAAAAAAATACCGTATGATGAATGAACCACTCATACCACACGCCACCGTCGTCCACTTTACGCTCTATGTTGAGAGTGACCTGAATGGATATTTAAAATTGTCAGCATGGCGAATGATGCATCAGGTGCCATGGATGTGTCTTCCTAACTAACTGAAAACGACTGAATTCACATAAAAGGGTCAGTACCTTTTCTCCTGGCAGGACTCGATACAACTCGCGAAGAGGAATAATCGCCGGAAACCAACTAATCATGTCATCCGAATATGTTGACGGTACGATTGACAGTGTTATGTCCTTATACAAATTCATGTGGAAGTAGCCAGCAAATCCCATCAGCTTAAAATGAAATTCAAGTTGTGGTGGTAAGAAATCCAAAGAAACCAATTTGTGTCATATCTTTATTGCACTTTGAGCCCTTATTTGATAACTTCGAAACTCCTCCCCCCACCTCCCAGCGGGAGAGCCCGCATTCACAGATGATGGGGGATAAAACTCAAAATACGAAAGGACAGGGCACTAGAGAGAGCCAATAGAGTGGCCACTAGCAGGTAACTGGTAGCCAGCGGGATTGGTATGGGCCTAAGCGGTGCTCATGGGCCTATCCAGCTCCCACCCCCAGTTATGGCAGTTTTCAATTTTTCAAAGTACTACAGCCTCTACAATCGCCTACTGAAGCAACTGACCCAAGAGAGGGTATAGGCCATAGTTCATCGCGATACGAGAACTTCGAGAAGGTCACCTATGTAGGATACGTTGGCCACTTCTGAACTGGCCAATAGGGAAGTACCCTTTGTGCTGAGCGCAACCCAAGGATTAAAGGCATGGCACGACAATTCAGTACTCTGCCTAAAATGGCAGAAGGGGCGCCAGTAGGGAAAATGGCGAAAAAGCGAAGTGAAACGGTCAGAAATCTCAAGAAAAACGCCTTTGTTCTACACGACTCAGAAAGCTACTTCGGGCCAGTTCCTTCTTGACAACGGCTACGGTAGATATTCCCCATGTATGTACCATTACATCCATGCAGCGCAGCAGCCGCTTATTGTACTTGGCAAATGAAACGCGAGCATCAGCATCGGTCGGACATTTGTGGGCGGGCGGGCGCGGTGGGCGTCCGGGTCGGTATGTTGCAGCTTGATAGGGCGCTATAAGGGTACCTTCCTTGTAGAACGGCGCCACGCAGCGCTTGCTCAGAGGTGCCGACAGTTTTGCAGAGCATATTAGTCTCACTCTTGGAGATTTATTGTGCCAACTGCCTTAAATGTTCAGAAAAAGCTAGTATGGATTGCTCCAACTTCTGTAACAGAATAAGTACCCAAAGTATAGTAGTTCTCATGGGGTACTGTAAGAATTTAATAATCCAAAGCAGCCGGGTCTTTTACATGCTGTGGGCGCACTCTCGAATATACCGAGTTTTTTTTTTTCGTGAATTGTATGAATGAAAAGTATCAAAGTATCTCACATCAGCTGGACGATCCATTTCGAAGGATATACTGGCAGAACGTTCATTCGACTGATTATCGAAATTAGGATGCACGAATGTGAACACCGACTTCGGCTCAGCAAGATTACAGTACTGTCGTAGAAACGCTACGTATATCTGATCCATACTTGCGACCTGTTCACCTTGCCTTAAGAAGATAAAGTGAGAATTGTAGATAAAGTTTCACCATAACGGTCAACTAACGGATAGTTCTGCCGATAACTGCCATCAAACTGAAGCTCCGGTCCTATCCGTCCATGTCCTGGAAGCCCACGATTCCAGTAACTTGCTCCGCAAAATCTGATTTGCTGGTGCATATAAAGTGACATAATTGGTGCTGAAAAACGCAAGAAAAATCAGACAACTCAAGTAACCGCTAGGAGGCATGGTGTAATGCTCACCAACAAAACTCGTGTATTTTTGAGGTATGCTGATAGTAGATGGCTTTAGCAACGGTGTTATGCCATCAAGACACTCAGGACTCAACTCGTTGTCTCCGAAAAGAGCCAAGCAGCTCGGAGACGATAATATCTGGCTGAGGATATCCATGTTCAGCTGCTATTGCGGGTACATCTCGCATATCCGCATCTATGATCACACAACGACTTCTCCATCTGAAATACAACAGAGCATGCAGTTATTATTCTAACTGTATAAGAAAAGGTACGTGGCTTTTCGAGCGAGGACAATTCACGGGTCTGTCTGTCTGCTGCAACAGGGAGAAATGAAGATGCGCTGGTATTCGACTGAGAGATTCGGAGGTTCGCCAGACCGCATGGAAGAGACGGGACTTCGGAAAGTAGAATAATCAACATTGAAAATTAGTTTTTTTTTTGACAATTAAGCATATTTGATGATGACCGGTTGAGGGCCGGAGATTTACAGCCATTGCACTCACTGGAGTGCCTTTCGTCTTTAGGCCCCATCCTACAAGCAACTTCCAAGCAGAAATGATAGGTGAACATGGCCGCTACAGAGCCCACAATAAGGCTCATCCAGGGTAAGACCAGAATTCCAGTTTTCTGACTCATGGATGTCATGTCTTGTTGGACTAGTCATACATGATTCAACTACCCACCTCTGAACAGTGGCCAGCGTCATAATTCCTCAGCTTCGATGACGGTATCGTCTCTGTAGCAATTAAAGCTGAATTACAGAACGTGGACTGACCAGCTTTTACTCCTCACAGAAAGATCCCTTTGTTGTTGGAACTGACGATGTTT